CAGAAGGGATCCCCGGTGGGGGGGGAATACTCACGCGCGCCGGCGCCTCCGGAGGCCTCGCTGAGCCCCGCCCCCTTCGCCCCGCCCCCTTAAAGGGGCCGCGCCGGGCACACGCAGCAGCGCCGTGCGGGGGATGGTGCTCAGCCCCACTGCTGCTGGCCTGGGCCTGCCCGCTGCGCCCGGCTCTTGCAGCTGCCCCGGTTGGGAAACCTTCTCGTTGGGAAGCTGCCTGAGCGCCCCCGGGCCGGGCCGGGCCGGGCCGGGCCCTCCTGCAGCCGGGTCGTAACTGTGAAATGCTCGCACTGGAAGCACAAAAGTGCTGAAAAACTCCGGCGCACGGAGATGTGGCGCAGATAACTAGGCGCGACAAGAAATCTGATCTCTTGTATTAGATCCACTCAAATAGTTGGAAAGAAATTCTTCTTGGCAAGCTTGCAGCTACGGTAAAAGCCTGCGACATGCACCATCGTTTTTGACACGCAAGGGTCTTTGAGGCAACGCGATATCTCTCTTTAGACCTTGCCTGCCTGTGTCCTAGACCAACACGGCCACGAGCACAAATGCAGCAACGTGGAAGGTATCAAACTTTGCGGTCCAGTTGGTCTAATAAAAGATACCACGTCTACTCAAGGAATCGTGCCTGCCCTTGTCCTTGGACCGCCGGGCTAGGAGCAAAAGCCCAGTAATCATTTTTGAGGCAGCTAATTGATGCAGCGTATGCAAAACGCAAGCCACTCGCAGAGTCTTAACCAACTTTTGGCCTTACTGTCAGTACTTCCTTATGGCCACTTGCCTCAGAATAAAGAAATGCTTCAATTGTGATGACCCAGTTCTCACTCACTCGCTGGCGACTAAAATAGTTGGGAAAAAATTATTTGTAAGCTTGCAAAGAATTTTTTTTCAACGATTTGAGTTGGTCTGATAAAAGATATCACATCTACCCAAAGAACCTTGTCTGCCGATGTCCTTAGACCAACACAGCTACAACCTATACCCCTAAAAACGATGCAAATAAGTCTTCTTATTGACTATATTGCTCCCTATAAATCGCCAGTGAATGAGTGAGAACTGGGTCATCAAAGTTGAAGCATTTCTTTATTTTGAGGCAAGCAGTCATAAGGAAGTACTGACAGGACAGTAACCCAAAAGTTGGTGAAGACTCTTTGAGAGTGGCTTGCATTTTGCATATGCTGCATCAATTAACTGCCTCACGATGCAAATAAGTCTTCTTATTGACTATATTGCTCCCTATAAATCGCCAGTGAATGAGTGAGAACTGGGTCATCAAAGTTGAAGCATTTCTTTATTTTGAGGCAAGCAGTCATAAGGAAGTACTGACAGGACAGTAACCCAAAAGTTGGTGAAGACTCTTTGAGAGTGGCTTGCATTTTGCATATGCTGCATCAATTAACTGCCTCAAAAATTATTGCCTATTTTGAACACTTTTACTATGATTGATTGTACATCATACAAGGATTGAAATGATTGTACAAATAAGATAATTATTGTACACCTGGCAACACTGATGATTTGCCAAGAGGTCCCTAGTGGCACAGCACACAGTTTCACCCCTGTAAAAGTGCCTTTGACTGGGAAAACCTGATTCCTAGCCTCAAGGGAAATGAGTAATTCTCAACTGGGGCGGCCTGGGGTGCCTTGAGGTCCTCACAAGGGTGTGATAGGCACCATGCAATGTTAGGCGAGCAAAGGTGATTCACAAGCAAGGGCAGACAGAAGGCAGGGCAGGTGAGACCTCCATGCTAAAACCAATGCAGAAGCTTCGGTGAGCCCCAGCTCTCTTCCTCAGAGGCACAGTATCAGCTAGCATCTGAGGAGGTGAGCTCAGGCTCACCAAAGCTTATGCATCCCGCATTCACTTAGTCTGTAGGGTGCACCTCTATCCTGCCTTTTGCCTCACAATAGACCAGGCAACCCAGAGATTTCAAAGAATCCATCGTGTTAAAAACATTTTGACCTGCTGTGGTCTTCCTGAGTTCTTTGCAACGGGAAAATTGCCATGTTATTTTTCTGTTGTCAAAAAAAGTGTGCATACAGAGCTGGCATTTTCCAAGGGGTGCCTCGAGCCCAAACAAGGCTGAGAAACCACTGAAACAGATGCTCTGTTCATCTATGAAGGTTGTATAATTTTGACTATAGATATATTTTGCAAGTACAGTTGATCTTTACAGGTGTAGTTAAACCAATAATAAAACATGTCATATTCTTTTATTAGAAAATCCTCTTGCAGATAGAAATACGGTTTTAGGCTGTCACTTAACATGCATTTTTTGACATTCAAGAGTAATTAAAGCTGGTCCGAAACATTTCTTTTCCACAAAAAATGTTGAGTTTGAGGAGAAAAATCTGAAATACGTTGATTCTGAAATGCTGATGTGATACAATATTTGGGTTTCAGCCAAAGCTTTTGAGTTTTGGATTGATTTTTTTTATTTTCCTGTATTCAAATTCTTTATGAAAAATGGAACTTTTCCATGCAAAGCAGACGCTTTTATTCCTGGAAAATTTTCATCCCGTCCTAATAGCAATATGATTATGATGCAGGAAGTGTAAGATTTATGTGGCCATGTCTAACTGAATGCAACTGATCTCACCTAATTTTGGAAGTTCAGCAGTCCTGGGCCTAGTTACCACTTGGATGAGAGATTATTTTGGAATCCCAGCTGCCTTAGAAACAAGGCAAGAGTTATAGACGAACATCTGGCAAATAATAGACAATAGAAACTGAATGTCTGACAAGACTTTATTTGGCTCCACTGCTGATGAGCTGATGGACAGGAACAAAAAGAAAAGATTTATTATTTATTGAACTATTCAATGTCATGCTTTTAAAAATCTGGTATTTTGTGAATGATGCGATAAGTACTGTGAGTACATTCTTGTTACTTAGGGTATTGTTCTTGTTACTTAGCAACATGAATTAGTTTTCAAAAGAAAGATTCTTTGGTTTGGTTTAGCCTTAAAAGTTTTGCTAGTATAGCTATGACATTTAGGAGTGTGAAAAAACGACACCTTCATGCAATGTAAGTATGCCATCAAAAAACCTACCGTGCATGCAGTTATACAAAATTCCTTTTGGAGAAGTGGTTAGCTGGTACAAGCTGCGTCTCCACAAGAGATTTTGCTGTTATGACTCCACTGATATAACTCTGCTTTCAAACCCTTTTAAGTGTATAGAAGGCTTTTTCCCTGCCTCAAATCTCCCTAAGGTATTTCATACATTAGATTTGATGCCTACAACTTGGAGACCTAAGCACTAAACAACTATGTGAAAGAGGTACCTGAACTCTTAAAGAACTTCAGAAACTCTTTTGGACTCCTCATGATTTCAGGTGTATTTATTTTCTTCAGAAGTTATTGCTGGGGGAAGGTTCAATGGAAAAGGGGGAAGCTTCAATGGAAAAGCGGGAAGCCTTGTGTTTCGACCTACATTTCTGTGCTTAAGAACATATCAAGCACCTGGATATTTTCATTACCAGGCTCTAATGTCTACACTGAACTTTTATCTTGGTCAAAGGATACACCAGTGTTGCTTTAGTGTGGACTGCTTGGTGTAAACAAACCTACAGCTTCATTAGTGTATGGGGGTTCATTTGCCTCTGATTCTGCTTAATATCTTCTTGTTTGATATAGGAAAGTAACAGGACTTGACATGTTTCTCTCCTTTAGTATCTGCAGTATCCAGGTATTTGGAACCTCATCCAAACTCCCTTAATATTTGCTGGCATTTTCACATCAGCTTCATTGGGCTTTGGGTCAGCCCTAAATGCCCAGACTATCACTTTAAATGGTATAAGAGCAGATTCTCAAATGACTTCCCTCTGGCAGTGCAAAGTCAGCTTTACCTGCAAAGAACCAGTGAGGAATTCCATTGCTGCAGAACAGGGGTGTCAAACTCACCCAGTCCTGCAGGCTGGATGGGGGTCGCTGGGCTAAGCTGCAAGCCAGACCAGGACCACGTCCCAGAACCAGCATTCAGGGCTGATCCAGCAGTGCATTGCATGTAGCATATGCCCTGCACTGCATACAGTGTTCACGATACTGGGTCCAGTCCACATCCCAGATAGTCTCTGCATGGTATCACTCTAAGACCCACAGGCTGGATCATAGGGCTCCACAAGCTGGATCTAGCCTGCAGGCCTTATGTTTGACACCCCTGGTGTAGAAGAACTCTCAGCTGATATAAAGCTTATATAATTTGCCAGCCTCCTAAACCTGCTGCATAATAAGGAATGAGGTTAGAGAGCTCCATCACATCTATCCTCTACTAGTATAAGGTCCCAGGACGCTCCTCAGTTGCTCTAAACTTCATCAGGGCCAGGATCTGCGCCGATCAACCTTCAGAATTAGGGAGTGAAACCATTAACTCCCTTGAAACTGATGGGTTTAGAAAGTAGCACATGAGTTTCATCTTCCTTAACACACAAGCTCCTCTCAGAGCAGGAAAGAGGGAATATCAGGAATGTCATTCCTGATGTTCCCTCTCTCTCCTGCTCTGAGAGGAGCTTGTGTGTTAAGGAAGATGAAACTCATGCTACTTTCTAAACCCATCAGTTTCAAGGGAGTTAATCTACACCAGAGCAAATTTTTCAGAGGTACATTAAAACAGGGGTCAGCAACATACAACCTGCCAGTTGAATCTGGAGCAACTGGATCTAACTTGCAGAGCCAGAGGGTTTAGTCTCTAATGAGGCTATGTTGGGGCTGGGCAGTGAAGAGCTGGGCCCTGCTCTCTGCTCACTGGCTACAGCATAGACACAGCTTCCAGCTGGTGGGGAACTGAGCCAGGGCTAAACAGTTTCCAGCTGTGCCCAAGCTGCAGCCAAGGAGG